GTACCTTACAGGCCATGTTGAGGTACTTGAACTTGGTCCCACTTAAAATTGGCCTTAGACCTCTCCTTACGGCTCCCTATGGCTGGCTGCTAGGGCTGTCGAGAGTTAGGAGGGCTTGGCTTGGTCTGTCACATCTCTTTAAGGACCCAGGTCCTGTGAGTGAGAGGAATAGGGTGGAAGACAGGAAAGTAGGAAGCCTGTCTATCCCAACTAAGCTGGCTTCATCTCCCGGTTGCTATAAAGACAAAGGTGCTGGCTGAAGGAGCATGTGAGGGGCACCTGTCCCCCAGGGGCTTATTACAGATGCATGAGTGAGCTCCCAGGAGCCTCCAGCCTGACTCTTCTTTGCTCTGGAGCCCCTTCCTGGGGCTGCTCTCTCTCTTCTTAGGGGAGACTCCACCCAGCGCCCTGCTTGTTGATGTCTCTCCTGCTGTCTTGTGCCCTGCATCCCTTCAGGCATGTGTGGCTACCATGTTTCAGTGTGTGCATTTCTGGGGCTGGAAGTCCCTGGAGAGTTCCTTTGGTCACAGCAATGACAGCATCAATGACCAGATGACAGTTTTTCAGACAAACATGTGCTCCATCCTGGTGAGAAGGCCAAGTGGGGGACAAGGTTGGGCTTATGACCCTATTTTTACCTTTTACCATGAAAACACTTAGCAGGACAATGTAAGGGTACCTATGTTAACATTACTAACTGCCACAATCAGAGAGTAAAGAGACAAAAGTTAATTTTGACAATAGAATATATTTAGCCCCAAGTAACCAGATTACAGAAATTTTAAGATATGATCAAGGGAAAACTTGTTATGTGGTATTTTTGCATCTTTGTTGGTTGGTTGGCTACAGTCTTCAAAGTCCAGGAAGGTCCCTGATAGGAAGGAATGCTCTCTGAGAGCAGCCTGTCCCCAAGTCATGTGATCTTCCACAGCCAGGGGGCACTTGTTTTTGTAGGCCCAGAAAAAGCCTGCTGTTCTCTGTGGCTTCCTGTTGGAAACAACAGTCTTCATGAAAAACAACTTGTCAAGGATCAGAATTGCTGCCTGCAATTTGGCAGGTGAGACAGATGTATCCAGATGCAGGGGGGATCTTGAAGCCATTTAGTCAACCCCAGGTTTGGATGGGGAGACAAGCACTGAGCTGGGAGGAGTGAGCTCTAGTCTACCTTGCAACAGCAAGTCTCCCAGCCCAGTTTCATGCTTGCCTGCTCCTGCACACTGCCAACTTCAGCCAGATGAGACACTTGACTGAGGTCCTCATAGGTCAATCTGTGCCTCTTGCAGAGAGGCAGCCAGTCCTGTGGGCCTGCCGAACCCTCACTGGAGTTAAGGCATGACTGGTCATTTATCATTTCAGGAATTATCATGAAGCAGCTGTCTGCCCATTATCTGAAGAAGATGGACCTTGTGGGACTTCGGAATTGTTAAGTAGTGCTGACTCAAGTTGTAGAAATCTATGGCTGTCACCTTTGAGACCATGCTGAGGAAGGGGCTGGTGACCCTTGGTTGTAGACTAATGGGGATGAAGGAGTAGCTGGACCTAGAGAGACGGCTGAGAATGTAGGGAGGGATTTCCAGGAAGAGCATTTGATGGGTAGAGTCCATGTCGACACCATTCTCAGATATTTCTGCTGTCCCTGACCCAATTCCACAGCCAAGGCCTGTCCCTGTTGGTGGTGTCAGGCGGCCTGACAGGTCTGTGGAGAGTGTGGGGACACAAGTTGCCCTACCTCGGTCTGTGGTGGGTTGAGTGCATGTGGTTCTGACCAAAATGCCTGTTCCTTTTGTTCCCACTCAGCTCTCCAGGACCTACAGCTAGATTCAGATGCTGGGGTCAGGAGGGTGGCCTTGGAGACCCTCAAAGTCCTGGACAGCTGCAATCAGCACTGGCTCCTGGCTTCACCCAGAGGACTACCGTAGGTGGCCCTGATGGGAACTGCTGCATCAACGTCACATCTGCCCAATGCAAGGCAAATCATTTTTCATTTGTAGAAAAGCTGTTGTAAAAGAATGAGTATCCATCCCTCCTCTCCCTCTGAAATATACCTCCATTGCTCTCCCAAGCGCAGGCTCCTGGCTGTATAGACACCACATCCCAGAGCCAACCATGGGGCAATGGGCAGCTTCGGCCCTGTAGGCATCCACATCTTCATCCTATGCTGAGCCTTTGTGGATGTGGACAAGCAGTGCTCTCCTACGTGTCCTGATGTACACCCACAGCAAAGCATGGTGCCGGGTGAGGGGAGGTGAAACTACTGTCCAGCCTGTCCCCAGAGACCTTGTTCCTAAAGCAGAAAGGCAGATGCATCCATAGCTGACCATGACACTGAGAAGCTCCCCCTGGGAGGGAGTGTTCACACAAAGTCTACCCTCCCCTTTCCAGAGACCCGAGGCTATCAGTGTTTGGGCTGCTGGAACAGGAGTCTAGTAGGACCTGGAACAGTTTGGTGGGGGAACCAAAAGGGTAATGAGTCCCATGTCTAGAAATTTAGATGGGGAAGAGAAGAGAGCAAAGACAACTTTCTCATTCTTGGGTTGGCATTGAGGCCAGGGTAGGCAAAAAGACTAAAGGCAGCATCTCCATGGAGAGATGCTCACCCAGTCTGAAGCAATTTGCTTGCTGAGGCTTCTCACCAAGGGTGGGTTTTTTTTTTTTTTTTGGCTCCAATAGAGTAAATAGTGAATTGCTGGTATCAACAGCTCTGGATACGCTTGTACACTAGCCCAGGATGTATCATATAACAAATCCACACATATCTGTGCCTTCCACCTGGGTAGAACACTTAGAGGCAGGGTGCCAGCAGAACTGAGGGCAATGGCTTCTCTCTGATGTGACGTTTCTTTTAAAAAGGAATAGAATTCAGAAAGAGTAAAAGGTTTAAGCTCTCTAACTACTATAAAAATGTAACTCTGCATAACACCAGGAAACTATCACAGCGGGGATAATTTGTATAACACTAGATGGGGTGGTGTGGACCCAGAGTAAACCCAACTCTAACATAGGTGAATAGAACAGTGAGTGCCCCGAGAGCCCCGATGACAGCAGACTGGCGCGTGGGTTGTCTGTGTCAGCGCTCATCAAGCAAGCATGACGCTTGTGTTCCATCCTTAGAGCTTCAAAAAAAAAAAAAAATCACAGGTGAAGACAAACCATGCTTGTCACTGCCAGCAGGGAGCACCATGGGTGTGAAGTGTCTCCTACACTGCTCTACTGGGTAGCCATGTGTAAAGGCTATTCAGCAAGTTGACGGCCAACTGTCTCCAGTACCTGCAAGTGGCTTCTAAGAGTGTGTCATTTGTTATGCACATACACATGTCCAGCCCATGTGGACCCCTCCAGACATTTAGGACAATGGAACAGGCTACCCCGTATGTTAGAGCAGTCTCCACCGGTCTCCACCAGTCAGTTTCTTATCACTATCACAAAATATTTGAGGCTGGACACTCCTAATCCATATAAAGGTTTAACTTAGTTTGGGAAACCCAAGGCCATGTAGTGGACAAGAGATATGGTGAGGGCCTGGTGTCAAATGTGAGAATACGTGGGGGTGAAGCAGGCACCTCTTGCAAACAAACAACAACAAAACAGCATAAAACCCAACCAACCAAACAGTAAGCTAGAAAAGTCAGTCCTGGGCTTTTGTAACCACTCTGGGAAACCAATAAGGAGAAAGTCCTTAATTCTTGCCAGGAGGCAAAGTCTCTAATCAGTCTGAGATGCTTACCCCACCCCACAGGTGCACCCTTCTACCAGTGTTACTACCTGAGGACACACTTCCAATATAAGAACCTTTGGGGCAAGCTCCTGTCAGATGTGGAGCAAACCTGCAGAGTATCCAGTATTGAGTTAAAACCAGAGAAGTTATCAGTTAACTGCTCCTTTAGCAGACCTCATAGACTCAACTTCCACCCTTGCCCAGTCCAGCTCACCTTCCTCCACTAGGAGATACCGGCTCCCTGAATTCTCAGGAAGGATTAGGCCCAAAGAAGGGTCTAGACATGCAGAGGCCATGCCTACCCTGGAGGTGCTTAAGTCTGCATGCACTGCCAAAATAGGCATCCTGCAAGGAGCCAGGCTCTCAGCTCGCATTTATTGCTATGCCAACTTGAGTTCTTCAAATCCAGATGAAGCCCTGAGCCCAGTGCTCAACACTGTGTATGTGTGTGTTCAGGTCAGGAAGGTTACACGGAGCACGCACAATAAAAAGTACCTTTTTTGAGACAGGCTTTTACTCTGTAGCACAGGCTACTCGTAGTGATCCTCTTGCTTTAACTGCTCTAGCATCCTGAGTAAGCCAGCACAAACGGCAGGAGCTTTCTCACAGGACCTTGCTCCACCTCCGGGAGGTTTGTCTATAGCCAGAAAGAAGCATCAGCAGAGCTGGCCAAGCCTGCACCCTTATCTCAGCCTTTTACCCTTACAACAATTTACTAGCAGTTTGCCCCAGCAGCTTGGCTGATGGTCACGTCCAATGGTCAGCTGTTATGGCTGACTCACAGGTGCTGCCAACGTGGTCCTGGCTGGAGGCATGAGAAAAAGGGAGACCACAGGAAACATTGTAAGGGAAGGACAGGAGAAAAGCATGCCTTTCTGCTTTACACTGCAAAACATCACAAGAGGCAGGGTACTAACAATTGTCACTAGACGTGGTGGCTTGGGTTCTGTTACCACACACAGAATAACTGATTGCTCAGGAAGACTAGCTACTTGCAACTAGACACCACCTCAGTAGAATCAGAGGCCCCATGGGTGCTGCACGGCTGCAAGAACATTTGGAAATAATTCAGAATTGTTTCAAATCTCTCTGGCAGTTTTAGCCAGCTGTCTCTCTGAAAACCTGAACAGTTCAATTTACTTCAAGGACCACTGTGTCTGGGGGCTCAACTGTACCTTTCATAAGCAAGTGATGTTTCATCAAAACAAAAAATGTGAAACAGACTCTAGATAGCATGCCAAAGTCAGAAAGAAAACTCAAAATAAGTCCACAAGGCTGACTAACATTGAAAACACTAACCATACAACTTTATTTGCAAAACCACACCAGGCATTTTCCACAGTACCAGCTGCCCTGGAGGTGGGGCATTAAGGGCGGACAGGTCAAGCAGGACAGCACACAAGCAATGCAAAGGTGGAACAGACAGTTGTGGTGCAGCATGCTTGAGGTGCATCTGAGGCCAGCCTAGGTGACAGTGACAGAGACCCCATCTAAAAGCAAAACTAGAGGCAAGGGGACAAGATTTTTAAACTTTAAAGATTAATCACGTTTCCACCCTGACCGATGAGAGAGTAATTTTAGTACAATCCCACTAGTTCTTCAAAGCCTGCCACTGAATGCCCAACTTCCACTCTGCTGCCCCTGTGTAAATGATTACGCCCGCTGTGGGAAATCTCTTGTTAAAGATCTCAAGGCTCGCTAGAGGCTGAAATGACAAAGGTTGCTGCTATGCCAGCTGTATGCCTTAGGGGTAAGTCGGCCCAATTTTGAGTGAATTTAGGAGTCAGCAGACACACACTGTCTTCTTCCTAAGACTGCCCACGTTACTGAAGGGTCCTTAGGCAGATAGAGTAAGGTACATAAAAAGGCTTACTAGTCTAGCACAAAGAAGGAACTGGCCTCTAATATCCTTCATGTTGTCACTGAATATGGAGAACTGGTCCCCTCTCCAAGTAATTTATAGCTGAAGTAGAAAGAAAACAGAAAATGAAGCTATTTAGTGTTTAGTGTGGGTGGAACTAGGGAAGGCATCTGGTAAAGGTCCTAAGGATAGGCTATTAAATTCCAGTGGGGTGGTGAGGAACTCCTGGGTACCAGGGAAGAAGTTGTAGGCACTGTGACTACCACTAACAAGCAACCTGATTCTATACTCTGCAAAGTCGAAGTCCCCACTAGCAATCGGGCAAGAGAGGTTTCCAGGCTGCAGTAAAAGCAAGATTTCCCCTGGGTAGACACCAGGCAGGTGAGACTTCAAAGATGGGGCATGTTGCATATGTTCCACATGGCATGTTGCCAGCTCCTTAGGAAGGCTGAGGAAGGAGGACCACAAGGTCAAGATCAGTTTGGGCTACATTGCAAAACAGGGTTTAAAAACAAAGTGGCAGAATTTCATTGGCTCTAGAGTAAGAGGAAGGTCCAGATGGGAGGGCAAGAGACACAGCTGTATTCCCACGACAGCTGGGGATATAAACAAAAGGCTGAGGACACGGGCTGGGTGAGGATGTGGGTTCTAGACTAAGGTCTCTGGTGACCTTTCTTCTCATCAGAATCTCAGCCTATCCTGAGGTGACCTGGACACAAGTACACGTTCACAATCAATTCTGTAGTTTGGAGCAGGCCACCAAGGGCACACAGTGGTGGCAGTCTGGTCTAGGAAAGTCGAGGGGGCTCAAGAGGTTGAGGCAGCTAGATAAATAGCTCAAAGCCAAGGGCAAAGGGAGACAGCGGGTAGGTGAACTCTGCCAGGGATACCTGCCACACCAGACAACCAGAGACCCAGTTAGTATGGCTGCAGTCGTTCAGCAGGTCTGCCCTTATTCCTTGTGGTGTTATCTATGGGCCTATCCCAGGCAGGTCCCTTCCTTGAAGTTCCACCAGGGTGATACAGTTCACCAAGTATTTTACCCATGGAAATAAATTGGAAACAAAAGCAGCCTCAGCATTTGGGGAGGAGGATCAGGAACTCAAGGTCACCTTGACTATCCAACGAGTTCAGTCAGCGCAAGCTACGCAAGACTGCCTCAAAAACCAAATAAAACATCTCCTCCACCCCACACCCCAAAACCAGAGCTCCTAAGACTAAGCCAAGGGGCGTGTGGTGTGTGCAGGGTTCTGTGGATTATGCCCCAACCCATGGACTTACACAATGTCCTGAAGGGCACTCCCTACACAGAAGCAGAAGCATGGAAGGTAAAGATGGGGGGGTGGGGAGAAGAGACAATGTAAGTAATTCAAGAGGAAAACTGCCACCGAGAATCCCCTGAATATGATTTAAGACACACAGTAACGGCTGAGACTGGCTGGAGAAGCCCAAGCGACCAACATCCCACAAGAAGGGACAGAGATGATGCTGTGATACAGAGCAGGGGAGACAGCTAGACAGAGGCCGAGAGCAGAGACTGCTCAGCACATGTGATGCCCTGGGCCCCACCTCCAAAAAGAGAAAGTGTCTGCCGGAGTCTTCTGCCTCAAAGCAACTGCTGAGTACATATAAGCATCATGTCCAACAGACAGACACCCAATCAGCAGTCAGGACACTCAGGCCAGCCTGCTGCTCCTGAGGAATCTTGAGATTTGGCCTGGTGAGCACACACTACCGGGTATGACAACTTGCGCCTCTTTGTTGACAACCGAGAGTCTCTCACAAAAGCACTAGCCGTCTGTGCAGACACGTGAGCTTCAACTGCAGTTGAATCCTCTGGGATTCTTATGCGCCAGCTGGGAGATGTTGACCGTTTCTGGAAACTCTGGAATGGAGAGTCTGGATTTAATCTTTTCAAGTGCTCTGTTTCACCAGGAACAGCTGTAGCAGCTTTCACTGGAGATACTCTGCCACACGAAGCCACCTTCACCCGCTGAGGTGACACTAGGCAATACTTCTGATAAAGTCTGCTGAATTCTTTTTTAAGCTCGTCATAATGACTCTTCCCACAGCCTGGAGAGCCTATGCATGGTGCTGAGCTAGCTGTACTGGGCCATACTGCCTTTCCGATTGGTTCAGAATTATGTTCTTGACGAAGGCCAGACCTCTGTTGAGAATGGCCTGGGCTTTGTGACAGGCTGTCCTCTGGAAAGGGACCGATCCTTAGAAGACAGCTATTTGTTTTGACAGACCTTCCCCTCAGGTCTTCTAAAGCTTTACCTGGCCTCTCTGTCTTTTCTCTGCTGAAAGGTGAACTTAGCCTGAGGGTTTCTACACCCTGGTGGCTGTCTGGACTTTTAGAACCATCTCTGAATATGTCTGCAGCCCAAGACTCTGTGGGGCCAGTCAGACGAGGTCGTTTCCCAGGAGACAGGCAACATTCCTGATGAAGTTTGTCAAATTTGATTTTAATCTCTCTATACCATTTTTCTACCTGACTTGGAAGCATCCTTGGTCTGGGAACCATTTTAACAGGTGAAATTAGCCACTGTAAGGCCTTCACCCTATTTTCTCGCTCAAGGTGGTATTCTGAGTCCAAGTACTTCTGAGGCATCACCTGGAGCTCCTTCCGGAGTTTGCTTCCTTCAAGAGAAATGCTTTTCAGTTCTACGCCTGTCTTGTGAGGGGCAACATGCGGTAAGTTCTTGTAGTCTCTTAATATTCTGGCCTCTTTCTCCGGCTCTGAGCAGGGCGCATGCCCCTTCCTGGAGACCCTCCAGGAGGGCTTGCTCCTGTAGTGGTATGTCGTGTTCTTGTGCGCCCTGTGCTTGTGTGAGAGCCTCTTCCTGGGCTGCCAGTTCCGGTTGATGTGGGTCTTGGTGGAGATGATACATGCCGGCTGTGAGCGGAGCAGCCTACTCATGGAATGCATCATGCCGTCATACAGCTCACTGATCGTCACATTGCAAACGCCATCAACCTCGAGGGACTGGCTGCTTATGCTGTTGCTGCTGGTCCCTACTAAGGAGCTGTCATTTCTAGTCACAATGGTCATGTCAGCTGGGCAAGGGTCCTGGTCTCTGGAGGACGAAGCAGACAGTTCAGGACCACCAAAGCTCTTTGCAGACATACTATCCTGGCATCCTAGGACAGAAATAGACAAAGTCAAGGGAAACCACCACTCAATCCACCCAGACTTCCCCATCAGGCAGGGAGCTCAAGAGGGCATCCCAAGCAAATCATAACAGTTTAAAACAGTACAAACAGAACCCCAGAAGGGTTAAGGGATAGACTCCTCTTGGAAGACTTTATTTCAGTAGTCAAAATTGAATTTCTATTCTTCACTCCAGCTTTGTAAAAGGAGTCGTCTCCCCCTTATACTGTTTCGAGATGGCCGTTAGCTCAAAAGCCAATATAACGCACACACAGATGAAAACCTCAAAAAATTAATTAGAAAGAAAAATTCTACCAATGCAAACATTTTAATAAAAAGCCAACAAAGGGGACTGAAGAGATGAGTCAGTGCTTAAGAGCACTTGCTGCTCTTCCAGAGCATCAGTTTGGTTCCCAGCACCCACACCAGGTAACAGCCTTTAACTGCAGCTCTGGGGCAGCTGATAGACTCTTCTTCTAGCCTCTGTAGTCTGTTGTATCTGAATATACAAGTGCGCGCACGTGCGCGCACATACACACACACACACACACACACACACACACACACACACACACACACA